TGCGACGATAAAAGGCAAGAACAAGGAAACCCTACCATTGGAGGGGCTTGACCTTAGGGACAAATCGTCCAACCGAGGCTATCTAGTTGAGGACCTCATCACGGTTCCCTTAGATGAGGCCAAGCTCGAGAAAATAGTACAAGTTGGATCTCGCCTCCCTTAGGACATACTTTCCAAACTAGTAAGCTTTCTTAAAAGCCAATACTGATGTGTTTGCTTGGTCCACTGTTGATATGCCAACAATTGACTCATTGGCCATTACTTACAAGCTAAGCATGGACCCAAGTTGTAAGCTGGTTCGACAAAAGAAGAGGAACTTTGCACCGGAACACTAGAAACCCATCGGAGAGGAGGTGGACAAGATACTCGGTGTCGGCTTGATAAGATAGATCTCAACAAGGCCTGCCCCAAAGATAATTTTCCTTTCCCGAGGATCGATCACCTCCTCGATGCCACCACAAGGTACAAGCTATTGAGTTTCATGGACACTTTCCCCGGATACCACCAAATAAAGATGCATCCGACCGACGAGGAGAAGGCCTTGTTTATCACTGAGTACGACACCTACTACTGCAAGGTGATGCCTTCTGGACTGAAGAACATAGGGGCCACTTACCAAAGATTGGTGAACAATATTTTCAAAGAGCAGATGGGGAGGAACGTCAATGACATGGTTGTGAAGAGTCTTAGGGCTAGCCAGCACACCTCGAACCTCGACATGACATTTGGGGTACTAAGAATGTATAACATGAAGTTAAAACCCACCAAATGCACATTTGGGGTCACCTAGGGAAAATTCTTGGGTTTTGTGGTCACCCAATGAGGCATAGAGGCCAACCTTGAGAAGATACAAGCCATATTGGACAAGGAGCCCCCTCGGTCAATCGAAGAAATCCCGAGGTTCATCGACCGAGTTGCGGCCCTCAGTCGATTCATGTCCAAGTCGGTCGACTAGTGCACACCCTTCTTCTGAGCCATCAAGAAGTTGAAGGATTTCCAATGGACAGGAGATTGCTAGAAAGGCTTCAAGGAGTTAAAGTCCTACATCATGTCACCACCATTGCTTACGAGGCCCCTCCCGAGAGAAACCTTATTCTTGTACCTCTCGGTTGGGGATGAGGCAATTAGCTCGGTGTTGGTTTGGAAAGACAAGGGAGTTTAGAGGCAAGTATATTACGTCAACAAGGTGCTCCATGAGACCAACATCAGATACCCTGAAGTGGAAGAAATAACCTTTGCATTGGTAGTCTCGGCTAGGAAGTTGAGTCCTTACTTTCAAGCCCACAACATCTCAGTGTTAACTAACCAGCCTCTCAAGTTGGTGCTCTCGAAGCCTGAGACCTTGGGTCAGCTAACCAAGTGGGATATCGAGCTATCAGAGTTCGACCTACACTATTAGTCAAGGCCTACAATAAAGGCGCAAGCATTGCTAGACTTCTTAGTTGATTGCACCTTTAGCCACGACCACAACCACGCCCCCGAGAATGAGGAGGAGCCTTGGCTAACCTAGACCTTGTTCGTAGATAGGTCATCCAATGCTAAAGAAAGTGGAGCCAGCCTCATGCTTCTCACCCTGGATGATAATGAGCTGGAGTATGTATTGCAGTTTGGTTTCCTTGCCTCCAACAACAAAGTTGAATACAGGGCCTTGCTCATTGATCTCTAGCTTGCAAAAGACCTCGGAGCCAAGCACATTGAGGTCTTCAGTGACTCATAATTAGCTGCGAACAAGGTGAATGGGGAATATGAGACTAGGGAGCCAAATATGGCCAAATACCTAAGAAAAGTCTGAGAGTTAACTAGCCACTTGTAGCACTTCACTCTGCACCAGGTCCCACGGACCGAGAACACACGAGCCGACACCCTGTCAAAACTTGCAAGCTATTCAGGGTCAGCCTTGGCCGCAATGTACACATTGAGAGCTTGACACATTCGAGCATCGAAGAGAGGCAAGTGTGCCCCGTCCAAGCTGAACCTTGCTGGATGGAACCCATTCTTGCCTACTTGCAACATGAGCAGCTACCATCCAACAGGAATAAGATAAGGAGAGTCCGACAGTAATCAACACGGTACACCTTACTCAAGGGCATGTTGTACAGAAGATCCCATTCATGAAGGCATCTACAGCAATCATCTAGGGGGGGGGGGGGCAGGGCCTTGACACAGAAAACACTCAGGCAATGATACTTTTGCATGACCATCCAAAAAGACGCTATTGAGTTGGTACAAAAGTGGGACCGATGCCAAAGGCACTCCAACATCTTCCATCGGCCTACGACAACCCTATTGGCCCTTAGCATCCCCTGGCCCTTGGCAAAATGGGGAATGGACCTCCTTGGGCCTTTCCCCTGGCCACCAAGAATAAGAGGTACCTTGTTGTGGCAGTAGACTACTTAAGTGGGTTGAAGTCGAGGCTTTGGTAATTATTATGGCCAAGATAACTCATAGTTTCTTTTGAAAAAATATTATTTGTCGATTTGACACCTCACACATGCTAGTCACTGACAAGGACTGATAGTTCAACGATGCCAAGTTCAGAGAATGGCGTGCAAGCCTAGGAATAAGGCAACAGTACACCTCGATCGGCTACCCTCAAACCAACGAGCTAGTCGAGGTCACCAACAGGACGATCCTAGACAGATTGAAGGCAAGATTAGATAGAACCAAAGGGCTTTGGGCGGACGAATTGTACAACATTATTTGGTTATACCAAATGACACATCGGGCTTCCACGGGCGTAACCTCCTTCAACTTGACATATGGGACAGGGGCTGTCATCCTAATAGAGATCGACCAGCCGATACTTCAAACCGAGGCATACCAAGAAGCTGAGAAAAGTGAAGAGTTAAGGAACCACCTCTACCTATTGGAAGGTGTCTGAGAGAAAGCCCAAATCAGAGTCGTGGCATACCAACAAAGAGTTGCAAGATACTACAACTCTCGAATCAGAGAGTGCCACTTTAAGGAAGGCAACCTCATCTTCAAAAAAGTCATAGTTCCCGAGCCTGGCATCGAAAAGGTTGGCCTAAACTGGGAAGGGCCCTACAAAATCAAGCAAGTAGTAGGACCAAACACCTTTCGACTGGAGTGCATGGGTGGAAGACTTGTATCTCGTACATGGAACTTTGAAAATCTCTGGATGTACTATCAATAGCAATGTAATTACTTTAGTGAAAAATTTTAAATGAAAAGTGGAAGTTCCTCTCACCTCCGATCTTTCTTTGTGTAAACGTTCTTGTCCCTTCCAACTGCTAGGACTCCTTGGTCGACTGACCGCAGCCAACCTTTTTTAAGGTTATACGATTGGACTAGATGATGACCCCCTCGACCGACCAACTACGGCATATGACACTTCTTTAAGGTTATACGCTCGGACCATACGTTGGCCCAATGCATACGACTCTTTGTGAGTCATATACCTAGTTGCCTTTTTACCTTCTGTGACTAAGGCAATAGCTTCTGGTACCTCGACAACTATTGATAAGTTAAGCCACGACTCCCGCCTCAACCTCAAAGACCCTTAAAGAAGCACGTCTTTGGAGGCCAAAGAACCGACATCAGTCAATTACTTAATAAAAAACACAACGAACGACACACTAAGTCAACGACACTTCTCCACTAAAGTAAGCACTTGTGACATCGACCACAAAGCGCCTACATAATGACGCGCTGAGCATGATGTCGGCCTCGACTACAATCACACTCCTTTTTTGCTAAGGCAAGGAGTTCCAAGACTTTGATAGTTGCTATCGAGCGGCTTGTGGTATCGGCATTGACCTAAAGGATTTTAATATAGAGCGTCCTCATGAAAGACTAAGTAAAGAACACTTTTACAATAAATAATTACTTTATTAAAGGATGACAAGTTTATTTACAAAGATGCCTCTTTGGGGGAGGCATCGACCCTTTGCACATAAAAAAAAGAAGAAATGAAGAGCATCTCTTGGCAAGAAAGTTAAATTCCATTTACTCAAGTGTCTTTACAAAAAAGGGGGCCTCTTATGGGGGGGGGGGGGCGTCTGAAAATAATTTATAGGCCCCCTCCAGTTCGAGCAGTGGCCTGGGCAGTGGCGTTGGCGATTGGGTTCTCGCCCATCCCTAGTATATCTACTATATGTTGAGCTTTAGTAGCAAACAAGTCTAGATGGCCGATGTCAAAGCTTGGAAGGATCTTTGTCACTTGAGCTTTGAAGTCGTCAAAGCCCTCCAAATAAGCCCGAGAGGCAAAGGTGGTCGGATTTGTCTCGTGCTCCTTTGAGGTTTTATACTTTTCGATTGCCTTTGCGGCTGAGTCCTCCAACTGTTACTCCATTGATACCAAGGAGAACTTTAACTCCTTCACGAGCTCCCTGTTATTCGTCACCTTGACCTTGATTTTCTTGCAACGCTCATGCTCGTCGCATACCTAGCCCTTGACCACCTTCCGATCGGACTACGCCTCAGCCATTTGTTGCTTTAGACGCTTAATTTTCTTTTGCACCTACCGAAGTTGCTGAATCAACATATTGACCTTATCATAAAGGCCGATCAAGCAAGAGACCATTTACATATGAAAAAGGAAAATCGTTAGTCACTTACCACCAAGAAGACTTTGACAATACAACAGACTCGAAGAAGTGTGTACATACCTCAACGGCCTTGTCCAAAAGTGTGTCCTCGACCAAATCCATCGAATTCTGTGTCCAAGACTGGTGGTCCCCAGGAAGGACCATGCCTACCGCTAGCTGCCGGCCGATGCCGGGAACTGATAGGGAGTCCCCCTCTTCGACCTATCCTCCGGTCCGAGTCTTAACAATACTGACGGACTCATGGACCAACGATGTTTCAGATCAACGGTGGAAAAAGATGGAGGCAACGTGCATCGATTATACGTCGCCCTAGTAATCACGGGCAGATAAAGATTCTATATACACGGTAAAATATTCTTTTCAGTCACTAATAAAAATGCATTAGCTCAGATAATATCAGAAACAGGCGTGGCGATAGCACTTGCTAAGTTATATCCTATAGCGTATAGGGGGGTCCTGGGGGGGAGAGAGAGAGAGAGAGAGAGAGAGAAACAATGGCGTTCAATCTCAAGGGTATTAGGGTTCCACCAAATTCTGCAACACTCCAAGAAGCGAGAAACCGAACATTTGATTTCTTCAGGCAAGCCTGTCGATCGATTCCAACCATTATGGAAATCTACAATCTTCACGACGTCGTTACTGTGTCAGAGATACGCTCCACGATCTCCTCTGAAATACGAAAGAACGCCCACATTACGAACACTAAAGTACTTAAATTTCCATGTTGGATCCTTTTTTATTTGTCCATTTTGTTAGATATTTGTATTTTCTGATAATGAATTGCTCCTTGTGCTTTCTATTTCGTTATTACTCTCGGTGGTTGATGTAATGAAATGATTTTTCTGATCCTCTCATTTTAGTTTTGTATCTGTTTTTCTTCTATTTGGATGGTCAATTTTTCTTCTTCATTTGAAGTTTCTTTTCCTTGGTTTGTTTGGTTTTGGTGAATTAGGCATCTTATGTTCAATATCCTTCAATTGATTTAATGAGGTATTCATTTGGTTGTCTTGTTCAATGATTTCCGTTTCTGTGTATGTATGTTTGGTGTTTTTGTTGATTGGTAATACTTGAAGGTTTTTCTTTGATTTGTTAGTTTATTTCGGGGATTCAGTATAAAACTTAGTTATTGACTTTAATTTCTTGACGATTTCATAAAAATCATAGAAAATGGCTGCTAGCAGTTTGGTTTTCCTGTTCTGTTTTTTTTCCTCATTGACTCAGTGAACTGAGTTTGACACCCATCTTGGTATTAGTACCTGTAACCTAATATGAGATTTTGTTTCTATCGACGAGAAACAAACAAATAAAACATAAAGATCTGGGGTTTGTTGATTCATTATTTACCATTTAGTACCAGGTAAACTTTGAGAAACATGTGAGCAACAAACAGTTCACATTCTAACTGCATGAAACAATAATAACAATGTTCCACTTGAATAGAAGATTCCACCTATAGACTAATAGTTTATCACCTTATTGGTGATTTTCCCTCCTGAGAAATAGAAATCTAACACGCATGTTTTTGGTTGGGGGTGAGGTGATGGAGGATTGCCTTTAGCTGCTTTAAGGAGAAATCAGGATCAGAGAAAGGTAACAGAGTAATTCCCTTGGGTCTCCCCTTTGTTTTGTACATCTCCTCATGTAGCTGAAGTTCTTAGCAGATTGATTTTTAAGGCTGATGTAGACAATTTGATTAGAGATTGGAGGATTGGTAGAAATGAGAATATTGTTATCAACCTGCAATTTGTAGATGACATAATCATCTTTTGTGAAGATTGCAATGAATCTCATGCGAGGACATTAAAACTTTTAGTTGATGGTTTTCAAAGGATCTCAATGTTGAAAGTGAATTGGGGGAAGATCTGTGTGGTGGGAATTAATATGGGTGAACAAGATATTCAAATAGGGGTAATTTGAGATTAGAAAATTTTTGAGAACCGGTTGTAGAGAGATTTACTAAAGAATTAGCTTTCTGGAAGAAGTACATCTCTATGGGAGTACTCTAATCAAATCCACCTTAGCCAACCCGCGTAATTATTACCTTTCCACCTTTAGAGTACCTACGGATAGTAGAATAGCAAGGCAATTATAGAAAATCATGAGAGACTTCTTGTGGGAACTAGGTGAGGAAAATAAATTATTTGGTCAAATGGGAACAGGTGTGCAAGTCTAAAGAACAAGGCAAAGTTGGTATTGGGAATCTGATTAAGAGGAGTATAGCTCTGCTAGGAAAATGGCTTTGGGGATTTCCTCTAGAAGAAGATAGGTTGTAACATAGGGTCATTGGAAGCATTCATGGTTTGGCCATGTGGTGGAAAATGGATGGGATGAAAAGTTGGCAACTCATACTTCAGAGAGAGAGAGAGAGAGAGAGAGAGGGAACAAGATTCTGTGAAATCTTGTTCTTATGGGATGTATCTTAAACAATCTGATTGTAATCTTCAAAATTCATTAATAAAATTTCTTTTGCTGATAAAAAAGGCGTCTCCTCTTGTGCTTCTTTTTTAACCTTCTTGTGATGTTAGAATCTTTAGGGGTGAACTTCCCGGTAAGAGAAATCTGGTGCAATTCTATCCCTCCTAAAGTATAAGCTTTGTGTTGGTAAGTGTTCCTCGAAAATGTCAACACCTGTTACATGCTATAGAAAAGAAGGCCAAATAAGTGCCTCTCTCTTCACGTGTGTATCCTTTGCAAGGAAAGTGGTGAGACCTTTCGTCATTTATTAATCTCATGTTCCTTTGTGTCTAGCATTTGGGAATACTTTCATTCTCCTTTTGGTTGCATATGGGTTCTCCCACAGGATGTGGTAGGTTTGTTCAACTCCAGTTACTTAATGCAACAGAAAAAAGAGAGGAAGATTGATGTGGAGGGTAGTGAGAGAAACAATGGTGTGGATTGTTAGGGAAGAAAGGAATTAGAGAATCTTTAATGAGAAGAGTAAATCAAAGGAGGAATTGATTGAAACCATAATAGTAAGGATGCACATTGGGTTAAAACTTTGGATGTTTTCTGAGAATTCTCAACCAATGACATAATAAGGTCTTGGACTAAAGTGGCACAAACCAGTAGGCATGCAGAACTTGTAAGAATGGAATGGAAGCCTCCAACTCCAAGAACCCCCCATGTGCTAATGTTGTTCATTTATTCATTCCAATAAAATATCTTCTTAAAAGGCAATTAAAGTTATAAAATCATTATTTTTTGTGAGAAATAAGAATTTAAGACCCTAACATGGACTTGTTCGGGCTTGCCTCAAGGGGCGTGGTACAAAGGCAACTCATAGAATCAAGAATGCAATATGCATTACATTAGCTAATTGAAGTAATGCAATTGAAGGAAAAAAGAGATTGTGGGTTTTACATGCTTGAAAATGCTTTATATGTTTGCTTTTATTTTTAAATTTTCATTTGAATACGCTTTTCATGTTATGTTTATGTATTTTAATTTTAAATAATAGGTTTTTTAAAACATTTATTTCAAAATTTAAGTTTATATTTTTTATTAACATCATGTTTAATATTTTTTGAATTAAAACATTTTTGGCATTTTTTTTTTTATTTTTTAGCATTTTTTTGTGTTTTTGCACCTTGCTTCAAAAAGGTGCATGCCTCGCCTTCTGCCTTACATCTCAGGTGCAAATTGGCCCTTGTGCTTTTAAAACACTGGGCCAAATGGAAAAAATCTTGATTAGTACCCAATACTTTGGGCCTAGTGCCACTTTGGTCCCCTAACTTTAACATGCGACAATTCAGTACCTGAACTTTCAAAACATGTCAACTCAATCCAGTACCTACCATTAACCAGCCGTAAAGTGGCATTTGAAAAGACACAAATGCCCTTTGAATGACGTATAATTTTCTTTAACAACCATCTAATGGTACAATCTGACAACAACAATAACAAAGCACTGTTTCAGCAGTGCTTTCTCTCTCTCTCTCTCTCTCTCTCTCAGCCCCATGGTTGCCCCTCAAAATCTTTCTTGGCTCAACTGCCAGCTGAGAATCATAAGAGCAAAAATCTCAATTTCATATCGACTGGAAACAACGGGAGAGTCCGGCTTAACAGCCAAGAAATTCCTTCAACCGGTGACGACTCATACTGGAATGAGTCCTTCTCGTTGGAGTATTTTGGAACCCAAGATCCCATGGAGGTACTTGAGCCACAAATAGTTGATGTTTGAGGCTTCGAGCTTAGATGGAGAAGCAAAGCATCGATCTTCATTCCTCATGCAGGTAGATTTTACATGACTCTCCTGTAATGTGAGTCTTGACCACACAAGGTTTGAGGATCATTTCCCTTCATTTCTGACTGTAATGAAATCCATTCATTTCAGTTCATAGCGCTGGAGTGCATACTTCATAAAAAAAGGCGACTCAACAGGCAACCAATGAAGTATGATCTAGGAGTTCACTGAACCAACCTGCTTTGTGGAATCAGCAATTTCAGGCCCAATACCATCGTCAGGAAATAGAGCCGCTCAGCTCAACTGAACTGCTACGAAGAACATGTCTTTGGATTTGAGACGCGTTTGGGAAAGAACTTGGGCAGGAAATCAGATGGGATTACACCTCTCTTTCATCTTCTCAAGGAAGAAGATGATGAACAATGTTTTATTTTTAAGGGTAATTTTGACATTTTCAAAAGTTTTAAGTTGCACATGCTCTCACATGATACACATAACTGGCGGCTGATTAACGGTAGGTACTAAATCGGCACGTTTTGAAAGTTTGGGTACTGAATTGTCATGTTTTAAAGTTTGGAGACCAAAGTGACACTAGACCTAAAGTACAGGGTACTAATAGGGAATTTGCCAAAAGCACCCAAAAAAGCTCGGTTTAACACTTTTTCACCAAAAAAACCTGTTTAGAAAAAACTGAAAATTTTGGCTTATTAGGTTTTGGATAAGCCCTTTTTAAAAAAGAAGTTCATTTGTGCTTTGGAAAAGCCCTTTTTAGTACGTCACACCAAACACTAGAATGTGCTTATCTATATAAGCACTTATTCAAAAAATTCTTCTTAAAAAGCTTATTTAGAAATGAAAAGCACTCCCAAACATAGACTTAACTTGTTAGAAGCACACTCATTTGGTGACTAATTATAGCTGTTAGATTAGTATGTAATAGAATCAAAAGTTGAAACCTTAAGACCTTAATGGGAGTGCCCAAGGGAATGCTGGTGCAGTGGGAATTGGTGGTGTAATCCTGGGGAGAGATGGGAGTATCTCTTGGGCTTTCAGTGGTCTGATAGGGAATGCTGATTCTAGAAAGGCAGGGATCTTGGCTGCACTCACAGGGCTTCGTCTTGCTAAATTGTTAGATCTGCCCTCCCTAAATTGAAGGCGATTCTGCTAATACTATAAAATCGCTAGGGGAAAAGGATGGTGGGCCTTGGAGGTTGTCTCACTTTCTGGATGAGGCTAGAGAGACTATGGAGTATGGACTCAATGACTGAAATTGATTTGGATCTCCAGGTAACTAAACACTGTAGCTGACAGCCTACCTAAATCTGGTATTTACAGAGAAGTTATGTTTAGTGATTGATCTTTGCCTGAGCATGAGGTCACCATCATTCAATATTTTGAGCGTCATGGGGATCAGAGGGTCTGGTGTCCTAGGTTCAGGAGACTATTGCTAGAAGGAGAGGTGGAGGAATGTATTTACTTGTTGGAAAAACTGGAAGGCATTAAGGTTACAGACCATTCCAGAGA